AAGAAGAAGAAGAAGAAGAAGAAGAAGAAGAAGAAGAAGAAGAAGAAGAAGAAAAATACACGAACGATTGCCAAATAAACAATAGTGACATCAAGTTGATAAAATGTGCAGATGATTCTACAATAATTGGGCTAATCCAGGCTGACCATAACGAAACCGTTTACCGTAATTTTGTATTTAACTTTTCTGAATGTTGTGAAAATCATAAGCTGCTTTTGAATGTGAAAAACCCCCAAAAGAACTTGTTGTTGATTTTAAAATAAAGAAACTGCCCCTGCAGCCACTCGAAATTAAATGTGAAAACATCGAGCAAGTGTCAGGCTATAAGTATTTGGGTGTTACAATGGACAACAAACTCAACTGGCGCTTCCACACTTCTCCTGAATAAAAAAAGTGAACAAAAGACTTTTTTTTCATAGGAAGCTAAGGTATTTTAAAGTTGATAAAACGTTGAGGTCCACATTCTATCATTCAACCATAGAAAGTCTGATCAATTTTTATATAACAGCATGGGCCGGAAACACAAAACAACAAGATAAAGAAAAATTAAATCGATTAATACGGAAAGCATGTAAAATTTCAACATCTGCATTCCCCTACTTGGATGAAATGTACATAACAGCTTGCACAAAAACAAAACAAAATTCCATCTTTTTAGACAACAAACATCCCTTGTTCAATCAAATAAAAACATCAATCAGACTTATGAGACCTAGGCTTCTGATCTGTAACAAAGAAAGATATAGAAGGTCATTTTTACCATCGTCTATCAAAATGCTTCCATCTTAAACAACGTGTATAAGTATACTTACGACCTTAGAGCATGCATCATTTAACATTGAGTGTGTATATCTTAAGATTATTATTGTTTATATTGTTGCTCATTTATATTATGCATGTGATTGTAAGCCTACGTGTATGTGTGTGTGTGTGTGTGTGTGTGTGTGTGTGTGTGTGTGTGTGTGTGTGTGTGTGTGTGTCTGTGTGTGTCTGTGTGTGTGTACACGTTGTGAAACACAAAACCAATGTGCCAGAATCTGGACAATAAAGATGCATCTTATCTTATCTTATACCATGGGCTAAAACTTCACTTGCTTTGACTGTTTCTTGAATTATCATTTCTTCACTGCCTTGCCAGAAAGAGAATTAGTTCAATATGTGCAGCTGTAGACGTATCACGCCTCCGTGGACAAAGAGTAATCTGCAGTGTATCTAGGATAGGAATAGTTGGTCCTTTGTCTTGAAAATGAAGTATTGATATCAATGCCAACAACAACAGATGCACTCTAACAACATTAACAACAACAACACAACAACAGCGACGATGAAAGAAGAAGAAGAAGAAGAAGAAGAAGAAGAAGAAGAAGA